AAAGGAAGACACCATGTGCTTCCTTAGAGGCCTTTCTGCTCTCCAGGACGGCCTGTTCTCTACTGGCGCTGAACATCTGCTCCAGACCACTGTCCTGAATTGATTTGTGTGTATGTATAACGTGCCGCGGTGGCTCAGAGGTTAAGACACTGAGCTGCAGACCAGAAGGTCTGTCATTTAGCAGTTTGAGACCTGAGTGCCACGTGATGGTGTGAGCTCCCGTCTCTGGCCCCAGCTCCTGCCAACCTAGCAGTTCAAAAGCAAGAGATTGCAAGTAGATAAATAGGTACCACTTCGGCGGGAAGGTAACAGCATTCCATGTGCCTCAGCATTTAGTCATGCCAGCCACACGACCACAGAGAAGTCTTCGAACAGTGCTAGCTCTCTGGCCATGTGGCTTTGGAGAGACGGCCTATCCATCTCTCGCCTTCTCTGTTTGACAAAGAAAAAGCAAACATGGGGATAAAGGTAAAAAGGTAAAGGTTCCCTGCCTCGAAAGCCAGTCGAGTCCGATTCTAGGGTTGCGGTGCTCATCTCCGTTTCAAAGCCGAAGAGCCAGCGCTGTCCGAAGACGTTTCCATGGTCACGTGGCCGGCATGACTAAACACCAAGGCGCACGGAACGCTGTTACCTTCCCACCGAAGTGGTCCCTATTTATCTACTTGCAATTTCTTGCTTCCGAACTGCTAGGTTGGCCGGAGCTGGAACTAGAGACGGGAGCTCACTCCGTCATGCGGCACACTCGGGTCTCGAACTGCTGAACTACCGACCTTCCACAGCCTGCAGTTCAGCATTTTAACCACTTGAGCCACCGCAGCTCCTTTTACCTTTATAACGTGCTATCAAGTCAGAGCTGACTTATGGTGACCCTCAGCAAGGGGCTTTCAAGGCAAGTGAGGAGCAGAGGCCATCGCCTTCTTTCGCAGGGTCTTCCTTGGTGGTTTCCCTTCCAAGTACTGACCTTGCTTAGCTTACAAGATCAGGCTATACTATCCTGCCTCCACTCCCCATAAATTGATTTACTACCTTTCTATAGAGGTCCGAGGAGCAGGAACAGAAATGTCAAAGTCTTGGGGGTGCTGCCACCACAAAGAAGGCCCTGTCTTCCAAGTCGGAGTCAACTAGCTCTCGAGCAAGGGAAACCTTTACCTTTATAACGTGCTATCAAGTCAAAGCTGACTTATAGCGAGCCCAGAGAGGGGCTTTCAAGGCAAGTGAGGAGCAGAGGTGGCTGGCCATCGCCTTCCTTCGCGGAGTCTTCCTTGGTGGCTTCCCTTCCAAGTACTGACCTTGCTTAGCTTCCGAGATCAGGCGATACCATCCTGCCTCCCCGCCCCATAAATTGATTTACTACCTTGCTATAGAAATTCACAGTGGACTGAAAACACTTTTAGCCTTCAGTATTTGAGGCCGTTAACAAGGAGAGTAGAAGAACAAATAGGCAGTCATGCCTAAAAATATGAAAAACGTATTAGCCTAGCAGCCAGAACTGTAATCAGGAGCTTCCTCTTCCTCCCTCCCTGAATACTTGGATGGCATTGATTAGATCAGGCACTGAAATGATAGCAGGAACAGGAATGTCAAAGTCTTGGGGGGTGCTGCCACCACAAAGAAGGCCCTGTCTTCCACCCCACCTATCCCCATTGGCAGAGAAACCTGGAGTCTGATTCGTGTGGCAACCTGTGGTCCTTTAGGTCTCCTGGCATCCAGGATTTTCTATCCAGTCTTCTCCCAACGACAGCTCAAACGGGTGTCGGATGAAGGGGCCACAGATCCTGGCTGGGCTCCAGTAGCCAGCTGTGGTTCCTCCACACAAGCAGCGCATCCATTTTGTTTTTGGTTTTTTTTAAACAGTTGCTGTTTCATGTGTGAGTCCAGTTTTATTCCTGGTGGAAGCTTTCGTGTGTACGCACACTTCTTCAGAGACACGTACACATGAAAGCTTATAACAGGAATCAAACTTTGTTGGTCTTAAAGGAGCCACTGGACTCAAACCTTGTTCTTCTGCTGCTTTAGACCAACACGGCTACCCCGCCTGAATCTGTTTTGTGGGTGTGTGGCAACTATTCCCCTTGACACCAAGCACAGGACGCTGAAACAGACATGCTCCGGCCTCCCAGAATCGACAGTTTGGTTTAAAAAACACACAGCTTGCAACTTCTGTGGTGGAGCCCCCTTTAAGGCTTGTAATTGCTAAAAGTTTACACAGTAGGCCATGGATAATCTCTCATGGTAACTGCACATGCTCTCCAAGTTGTTCTGGTAACAAAAATCCAATGTGTCTGGATGTGTGTCTCTTCCATCAAACTTTGAGAAAGCGACACCTGGCTCTAAAGAAAATCTTTTTTTCATATATTTATTTCATATATTTATGTTGTTTTACAATATTAATATTGACCACTGAGGAAGGCCCCAAGGGGCCGAAACACATATGGTCTACTGATCATAAGATATACCCATCAATTCTATATGTAAAACTATCAGCTCTATGTGTAAAAAGTTTTAAGAGTCTGATATCTGGATAATTTCTTTTAACCTATTTTATCTTTTACGAATGTGTAAAGGTAAAGGTAAAGGTTCCCTTGCTCGAAAGCCAGTCGAATCCGACTCTAGGGTTGCGGTGCTCATCTCCGTTTCAAAGCCGAAGAGCCAGTGCTGTCCGAAGACGTTTCTGTGGTCATGTGGCCAGCATGACTAAACACCAAGGCGCACTAAACACCAAGGCGCACGGAACGCTGTTACCTTCCCACTGAAGTGGTACCTATTTATCTACTTGCAATTTCTTGCTTTCAAACTGCTAGGTTGGCAGGAGCTGGAACTAAAGACGGGAGCTCACTCCGTCATGCGACACACTCGGGTCTCAAACTGCTGAACTACTGACCTTCCACAGCCTGCAGTTCAATGTGTACACCATAATAAATGTCTGTATTTTTATAACAACTTATTTTGTTAGCTTGACCCTCATATATCACCGCATATCTTGGGCTGATCCCCCCTGCCCCCTTTTTCTTGGCATTTGACATCTTCATCAACTGTGTTTGGGAAATTATTACAGCTTACGTAAAGCTTGTTCTGACTTTGATACAGCCTGGTATTCAGGCCCTATGGTTGTAATTTCACTATTGTGAACACCATCTAATAAATATTTATTTCGACGGTATTTTGTCGGCTGTAGTTTGACCCTTGTAGTGGTTCGAGCGCCAGGCTAGGATCTGAGAGACCCAGGTTCGAATCTCCTCTTTGCTATGGAAGCTCTCTGGGTGACATTTAGGTAGCTGCACCAACTCAGCCTCACCCTACCTCACAGGGCTGTTATGAAGATAAAACGAGAGAGAGGAGACCGATGTCAGCTGCTTTGGGTCCCCCTGGGGGAGAAAGGCGTGATATAAATGGAGTAAATGAATGAAATAAAATTGTTGTGTACAGTCAGTGAAGCTCAAGAAGTATCTTGCCTTTTAACAGACAGTGAACTCCGAGAGACTTTCTGGGTGATGGAAATCAGTACCGTGAACACCCTCACTACCCTTTCTTGACCTTTTGGACATGTTTCCCTAGTGGAGGGCATTTCAAGGTTATAGTCCTCAGCACACTTACCCAGGACAGCCGTGTTCCCTCTAAGCTGAGTTAGTGTGAGCTAGCTCACAGTTTTTTTAGCTTCCAGCTCACACATTTTAGTCTGAGCTCAGGAAGGAGGGCTCCAGAGCAAACTAATGTATTCAGCAGCCAAATTGCTCCCTCACAACTTTTAGTGCCAGTCGCTCACAAAGTAGAATTTTTGCTCACAAGACTCCACAGTTTAGGAGGGAGCATCGCCCAGGAGTAAGCCCTAGTGAGCTCACTGCTCACCGGGACTTAACTCCTGAGTAAGCGTGTCTGCAATCAGGTGGCATGTTGGGCCATTGCTCACTGGTGGGGAATCACCATTAGTGGTCTTGCCAACCTTCCGGGAGTTTCTAACAACTCTTCTGCAGGCTTGTTGGGTTTTTCCCTCCCGTCCCCCACCATGCAGAGACTCTAATCTGACAGGCAGAAATTCAAGTGGGCGCGGCATTCTGCCTGCTCGGGAGATGGGGCCGCTGCAGAAATCTTCGCCCGTTAGATGTCTACCTGGAGGTGAATCCCTTTTCACCCCCCCCGCCCCTTTTAAGCAAGCTTGATTGGTCCAGAGCAGCCTTTCCCCCCTCCTGTAACCCATCACTGCCTGCTTCTTTTGTTCTTCTGCCTTTGCAGACTTGGGGGGGGGGGATGGAAAAGGGTCTGCCCCAAACATCTTGTGGGTTTCTTTGTTTTTGCAGCTTGTGTTTCTTTTCTCTCCCCCCCCCTCCACCCCCCCGCCCGCTAGGCAAAAAGGAGCCGCCAGAATCGACTTTGTTTCCCGAGGCAGGCATTGTGTAGCCTCAGTCGGCCTTTTAAATCCCTCCCTTAAACCCGTCTCTTTCCGCCTAGCCTGGGTTGGCTTGCCTTTTTTTTTTAAATTTTGCATATTTCCGCCTTCCCCGTTAACCCCATCGCTTCCCTCCCCTTTGCTTTTAATCCCCCTTCCCGGCTTTTTAAGTCTACGGGGGGGGAAGGGGAGGAAGAGGCCAATTAAGCATCAGAGAATCCAGGCCGCCGGATCGTTAACCCCTTCGCTTCCCTCCCCTTTGCTTTTAATCCCCCTTCCCGGCTTTTTAAATCTCTCCCGGGGGGGGGGAGGGGGAAGGGGAGGAAGAGGCCAATTAAGCATCAGAGAATCCCGGCCGCCGGAGCCGCTTTGATGTTGTTTGTGGATTGGGCGGGGATCAAGGCTTGGCGGCCAGAGGAGGGGTGGAAAAATTGCGACTGTGTTGACTTTAGGCTCACTTCTCTCTCTCCCGCCCCCTCCCTTTCTGGTTTCCGACGAGGCGCCGGACGGGTTAAGCCCATAGAGGGCTGAGCTTCCCAGAGAGGGCGAGAAACTTGAGCGAGAAGAAGCTGTTAATACCCAAGGCCCCTTTCCTGATGGGAGGAGGGAGGCGCGGAGAGCGTCTGGGTTTGGAGTTATAATTTTCCACCGCGCTCTCTCGCATTATCATTATTATTATTAATACTTTTATTTCTTTGCGAGAGGAGCCCCGCGTGGAGAAGACGCAGATCCAGAGGAGGATGCATGGCAGGTAAGCAAAGCGGGCGCGCGCCTCTCCTCCTCCACCCCAGCAACGAAAAAGTAACAAGAGAAGTCGGAAACTGGAGGGGGGGAGGCGTTCTGGAACCGCCGCCACCCCCCTTCTCCCCCGTTCGGGGCGAACAGGAGGGGTTTTGTGCGCTCCTGTGCGTGGCCTCTTTTCTTCCCCCGGCCAGGACAATAGCAGAAGCGGCGGCTGATCCCAGATCAAGGGCAAGGCACGGAGCGTTTTCCTTTGTCTCGCCTCTCCTCCCTCCACACACACACACACACCCCCGCTCCAACCAGGGGAAGACTCTGGTTTTATTCTCCTCCACATACACAGCACACTCTCTCTTAGGGCCTTGCAGTCCGGGAGGGCAGTTACCCGGACTTCAGTGCCACAGACGCAGAAAAGAAAAAAAACCCATCGAGGTCAACTCTAGATTATTTATTTGCTCCTGAGCTGTCCAGATCTCCTCTGGTTCTGGACGCTTGCGGTCAGGCAGGGCTTTCCCCGGGGGGAGGAGGAAATGCTTCTCCCCCCCCACCACCACACACACTGTGTTAACAGACTTCTTGGTGTCGGAAAGCTAACACGACAGGGAGTAGGGAGAGCCTACCGTCACCCTCTCTCTGATGTGGTGGTTTTTCTGCGTGCAGGGAATTCTTGGACACGGATCTCATCAAATGCCGGCTCAGGTTTGGCGACTGCTTCCCTATAAGATGCTCAGGCTCGAGGTTCAGCCGGTTCAGCAGGTGTGTGTGGGGGGATCAGAAAGCACTGCCTTTCAGCCACAGAGAACATCTCTCTGTGTGTACAAGTAACGTCTCTTGGCACACTGGTGGAGATAAGTGTGCGTCGGCAGGCGACACTTTTGCTTTGAAACGAAACTCGAAAATTCCGCCACAGCAGTTTCTGTAACTTGGACTCACCACCCAAGGACTGAATTCTGCCCACCGAGTGGTTTATGTGTGTAGAGTACATTTGCTTGGCTTGTAACTTGGGCTGACCCTGGCCAGGGAGGCCAAGGCACAGAACCTCCCCTGATCTCTGAAAATAAGTTTTGTTTCATTTGGTGCTTGAAGTCACCGACCTCTTTCCTGCTCTGCAAGATCTCCCGAGGCGTGGCTTACACAATTTCAAGCCCCTCTTTGCCTCTGTAAGGGTAGTAGAAACTTGGTTTGTGAAACATCCAAACGGAGAATTTTGGGATGCTCTGAGGCGTGAGCTGGGACGCAAAGGAGATTGTCCCGCCACAGAGGGTGAGCGTCTTTTTCAAAATGTCGGGCTTAAGTTATTATAGGTGGGACATAACTAGTGTTCTGCAAGGTTCCTGGTTGCTACCAGAAGTGAGACCCTCCTATGCAACCCTCGAGCACTCCCTGGCCAAGATTCCTTCTCTTGGCTTGCTTCGTGCTGTATGACTGGCCTCTGTCATGAGATAAACTTAACGCTCCAGGCCTTGACTGGGTTAGGCTGGTTGACCTTGAGCCAATTGCTTGCAGGGATACACACCCACGCACACACGAGCACTCCCTGGCCAAGATTCCTTCTCTTGGCTTGCTTCGTGCTGTATGACTGGCCTCTGTCATGAGATAAACTTAACGCTCCAGGCCTTGACTGGGTTAGGTTGGTTGACCTTGAGCCAATTGCTTGCGGGGATACACACCCACGCACACACCTCGGGCTATGTGTACACCAAGTTTCAGCTTTCGAGATGGCCTGGAAATCTGAAATTGGGCACAAAAGTGGCCCAAGATGTGCTGGAAATTCCTCGGATGATGCACAGCACGTTTTGAGTCCTCTCTGTTGAAAAGGGGGGAGCTGTATAAATGTCCTCCTTTCATACTTGCAGGTGTGCGGGGGCCTCATGTGTACCAAATGGCAGCTTCCTGGGTGTTCCAAAAGGCCTTGTCCATTTTGAGATGCCCCGTTTCAGCCTCTGTTGAAAAGGGGGGAGCTGTATAAATGTCCTTCATTCATACTGCAGGTGTGTGGGGCCTCACGTGTACCAAATGGCAGCTTCCTGGGTGTCCCAAAAGACCTTGTCCATTTTGGGATGCCCCATTTCAGGGGGGAGAATTAGGAGAGCTCCATTTTTCTAGGGCATTTGGGACGACTTTACACTGAGAGTGATTAAAATATGGAATTCGCTAGCAGAGGATGTTGTGATGGCCATGGAATAAACAGCTTTAAAAGGGGATCAAACATATTTGCGGAGGATAAGTCTGTCAATAGCTACTAGCCATGGTGGCTGAGGGGAACCTCCACATTCAGAGGCACTAAGGCCTCTGAATCCCAGAGTCAGGAGGCCACATCAGGGGAATGCCTCAACCTTTATGCCTTGTTGTTGGTCCTCCGGAGGAACTGGTTGGCCACTGGTGTGATCCAGCAGGGCTCTTCTTATGTTCTTATGACTGAGGTGAACCTCCACATTCAAAAGCATCAAGCCTCTGAATCCCAGAGCCGGGAGGCAACCTCAGGGGAAGGCCTCAGCCTCTTTGCCCTGTTGTTGGCTCTCCAGAGGAACTGGGCGCGTCTTATGTACTTATGACTGAGGAGAACCTCCACATTCAAAAGCATCAAGCCTCTGAATCCCAGAGCTGGGAGGCAACCTCAGGGGAAGGCCTCAGCCTCTATGCCCTGTTGCTAGCCCCTTAGAGGAACTGGTTGGCCATTGTGTGAGACAGGATGCTGGACTAGATGGACCACTGGTCTGATCCAGCAGGGCTCTCCTTATGTACACAAGAACCGGTCTTTCAGACTTAGGTGGTACTCTGACAAAGAGAGCTTTGCCTCTTGAAAGCTTACACCTTGAAACTCGCGTTGGTCTCTATGGTGCTACTGGACTGGAATCTAGCTGTTCCTCTACAGGCCAATACATCCACCCTCTGAAACCCTCTGACAGCTCTGATACCCTGTCGGGTCAGAAAGTCCGTGGCCCAAATGTCGGTGTGTAATTTTCAGCAATAGGCTTTTTCCTAGAAATGTTAAAACCTAGGTGGTGGTCAATGTTCCCTCTAAGCTGTTGAGTCTTGTGAGCAAAAATTCCACTTTGTGAGCTACCGGCATTAAAGTTGTGAGCAAGCGGTTTGGCTACTGCATCAATTAGCTTGCTCTGGAGTCATCCTTCTTGAGCTAAGACAAAAATCTGTGAGCCGGAGGCTAAAAAACCGTGAGCCAGCTCACACTAACTCAGCTTAGAAGGAACACTGGTGGTGGTTCTCTGCCACAGCTTATCTAACTTCAGCAAAGGGTTCTGGCCCCCTCTCTAGTCTCTGTGTACCATCTGATGGAGTTTCTTGTTGGGTCGTTCTAGCAGGGAGGATGATGAACTAGAGCAGCTGAAGGGGGGCCTGGGGTGGTGGGTTACAACTCTTTTGCATTAAGCAAGAGGAAAGTCTTTGGGGTGCTTTACCGAAGGTAGATCTGGTTAGTCTGTAGTTCCCCGCCTTTCATTCCTTATGTCCCACTCTGTCAGCGATACATCAGTCCCACCGCGATAGAAACAAAAAGCCCGCTTTTCCCAAGGAGGACTGTTTATGTGCTTTACAGTCATCCTTGTTGTTATATTTATTTTATTTGTTTATTTTTATTTTATGACATTTATACCCCGCCCTCCCCGCAAGCGGTCTCAGGGCTAAGTTTTGGTGCTAAGTTTTGGTGGCGGAAAGTCCTGAGAAGTCACTACTGACTTATGAACTGCTGAACTACTGACCTTCCACAGCCTGCAGTTCAGCGTCTTAATCACTTGAGCCACCGCAGCTCCCTATACCTTCACAGTGCTACCAGTCAAATAGTCATTAGTTAATCCATCCCAAACACTTGGAGGAGCCAGGCTGTCTTGCACCTGGAGTCCAGTGGGGAGGGGAGAAACAGCCCAGGCTTTGAAGATAAGCTCTGCCAACAAGCACGGGAGAGAGGAGAGTCCCCTTGAGAGTGGCTCGTCTGACAAGGCTCAGGGCAAATGAGCACCAGCATGTAACCGAGATGGAGTCACGGGGGCCATCCAGGGTCTGTAAGAAGCAGCACATCCAGGGCACTTGCCGGTGGGCGGGGGGGAACGGATTAGGAGGAATACTGAACGTGGAAGGTTGAGTGTGTCAAAAGGTCACAGGTGGATAATCCATGGCAGATAGCCAGGTTCGAAGACATCCCAAGGAAACGATAAGCGAGATCCAGGTTTGCTTACAAGGAGATTTTTAATAAAGCATCAAAACTTACAGAAAATGCAGGCTAAGCTTCCGTCAGCGGGGCCCTCAAGTGTTCACACACATAGCGAAAGCTTGCCAGAATCCAAGACCACATGCATAACTGAAACTAATCGCCTTTATACCCTCAGTGCTACCAGTCAAATAATCATTAGTTAAGCCATCCCAAACACTTGGAGGAGCCAGGCTGTCTTGCACCTGGAGTCCAGTGGGGAGGGGAGAAACAGCCCAGGCTTTGAAGATAAGCTCTGCTAACAAGCACGGGAGAGAGGAGAGTCCCCTTGAGAGTGGCTCGTCTGACGAGACTCCGGGCAACTGAGCACCAGCATGGAACCAAGATGGAGTCACGCAGGCCATCCAGGGTCTGTAAGAAGCAGCACATCCAGGGCACTTGCCGGTGGGCGGGGGGGAACGGATTAGGAGGAATACTGAACGTGGAAGGTTGCTTCTATGAGTGTGTCAAAAGGTCACAGGTGGATAATCCATGGCAGATAGAGTTGGCAGTTGTTGTTGTTGTTCAGTCGCACAGTCGAGTCCGACTCTTCGCGACCCCATGGACCAGCTCCCGCCAGGCCCTCCTGTCTTCCGCCGTCCTCTGAAGTTTGCTCAACTTCATGTAAGCTTTAAAGAATGATACATTCTTCAATAAATCTTTGAACAAAGTAACTTATTTTAGCCTCAATTTGTAATTGATGCCTGTACTGTTTGTTGCTTTAGATACACTCTTGCTGTGTTTCCTCACCAGGTTGGAGGCCGTTCCCTGGCCGTTCCCTGGGCCACAACAGCTCTCCCAGCAAGGGTTCTTGGGTTCCAGTCCAAAGGGAAAGTCCAGGGCTCAGTAGCCCAATCCAAAATCACAGTCCAAGTTCATGTAACAGGGTTCCAGGACCTTAAGCTAGACAGGCAGCTGGTAGGAATAGCAGCAGGGGTGCAGGCAAGTGGATCCCACGCCGGCTGCAGCCTTATATAGGAGGAGAAGAGGAGATTGGATTTATACTCCCCCCTTCACGACCCAAAGGGGTCTTATAATCTCCCCTCCCTTCCCCTCCCCACAACAGACACCCTGTGAGGTAGGTGGGGCTGAGAGAGCTCTTTGGAGGACTGCTCTCGAGAGAACAGCTCTCAGAGAACTGTGGTTTGCCCAAGGTCATCCAGCAGCTGCATGTGGAGAAGTGGGGAATCAGACCTGGTTCTCCCAGATTAGAGTCTGTGCTCTTAACCACTGCACCTGTTCCCACATTAGGCTCCTCCTCACAAGCTGAGTCTGCTCCTCTGCTCATGAGGAGTACTGGGGCTCAGATCCAATGTTCCTGCTAACTCCTCCCCCCCCCCCGAGAGGAGCAGTTCGTGTCCTGAGCAGAATAGAACTGCCGTAATCTTAAAATGGGTAATGGGCAGTGCAAGACTCTGCATGGCCCCAGATTGCTGCTGAGTGGGGCTTCCTGTGTTAATGAGCAGCCGCTCATGCGCACAGCTTAGAGGGAACACTGCTCATTTCCTGTGGTGACTTGTTGGATCCATGGTGACTCATCAGCAAGCCAGTTTGGTGTAGTGCTTAGGAGCGTGGACTGTAATCTGGGAGAACCAGGTTTGATGCCCCACTCCTCCACATGCAGCTGCTGGGTGACCTTGGGCAAGCCACAGTTCTCTTGGAGCTGTTCTCTCAAGAGCAGTCCTCCAAAGAGCTCTCTCAGCCCCACCTACCTCACAGGGTGTCTATTGTAAGGAAGGGAAGGAGGTGGTAAGCCGCTCTGAGTGAAGGGTGGGGTATAAATCTCTTCCTCCTCCTCCCCCTTAGCAGAAAGGAGGCCTCAAGCTGCCAGGCATACACTGCTGCACCTGGTCTGCCCCTCTGCCCTGTTCCTGCATCTCCTCTACTCCTGGGGTACTTCGGGAGACCATGGTGGACAGGTTGACAGACTCCCCACAGCATCAACGAAGTACACACTTGTAGAAAGGTTTTACTTTATTTGAAGCTATAGGTGCGTAGACAGGATCACTGTTCAGAATGAGGGGTTTGCAAAGAGCATGGCATGTTATAGTACATTCAGACCATTGAGGCCCAATTGCGGGAGTTCCTGCGTGCGCCATCGGGCCTGGGAGCAAACGCTTCTAGGCAGTACACGTTCTCTCTTTCTCACGGTGTTCCGTGAGATCCTCCAAGCAACTAACAAGCAGCGGCAACCAGCTGTGGCCTTGAGAGATATAGACGTTTTGGCAGCAAAGCAATTAAGCCCATCAACAGGGCTACATGCGAAAGTGGAAGCAATCAAGCGCACACAGAAAGCCGAGAACAAAATACTGGCAGCTTGCTGACACAGGTCCATGGTGGGGCCTCCAGGCCTGAGGGCCCTGCTGGCTTGGGTGGTGCCAGCGTTGGTTCAGGGTCCCTTCAGGGCGGAGTTGAAGCGTTCGCCTCACTGGGAAGGTCTGCCAAGGCTGGCCTTGGGGACAGGTTGTCTTCTTCCTCTGAGGTCCCTCTTCCCATGCGAACCCAGGGTGATCCCATGCGAACCCGTGTGTGCTGCAGCAGTGGAAGAGGCAAACTTTATGTTAGGGATTATTAGGAAACGGATTGAACATAAAACGGCTGATATCCTAATGCCCCTGTAGGGATCTATGGTGCGGTCTCATTTGGAATACTGTGCACACTTCTGGTCCCCGTTATCTCAAAGAGGACACTGCAGAGTCAGAAAAAGGAGAGAAGGAGGCCAACAAGAGAATTAGGGGATTGGAGCACCTTCCTTATGAGGAAAGGCTGAAGAGTCTGGGTTTTTTAGTTTAGTAAAGAGACGACTGGTGGGGGGGAGGGGGACGGCATGAGAGAGGTTTATAAAATTATGCCCGGGGTGGAGAGAGTGGACAGATCTTTTTCCTCCCTCTCCCAAAATACTAGAACTCGGAGGCATCCAGTGAAGCTGATGAGCAGTAGGTTCAGGATGGACAAAAGGAAATACGTCTTTACCCGGAGAGTGATTAAAACATGGAATTCGCTGCCAGAGGATGTAATGGCTCTGTGTGAGACAGGATGCTGGAATAGATGGACCACTGGTCTGATCCAGCAGGGCTCTTCTTGTGCTCTTGTGAAGGCCTCGGCCTCTATGCCCTGTTGTAGGCCCTCCAGAGGAACTGGTTGGCCGCTGTGTGAGACAGGATGCTGGAATAGATGGACCACTGGTCTGATCCAGCAGGGCTCTTCTTGTGCTCTTGTGAAGGCCTCGGCCTCTATGCCCTGTTGTAGGCCCTCCAGAGGAACTGGTTGGCCGCTGTGTGAGACAGGATGCTGGAATAGATGGACCACTGGTCTGATCCAGCAGGGCTCTTCTTGTGCTCTTGTGAAGGCCTCGGCCTCTATGCCCTGTTGTAGGCCCTCCAGAGGAACTGGTTGGCCGCTGTGTGAGACAGGATGCTGGAATAGATGGACCACTGGTCTGATCCAGCAGGGCTCTTCTTGTGCTCTTGTGAAGGCCTCGGCCTCTATGCCCTGTTGTAGGCCCTCCAGAGGAACTGGTTGGCCGCTGTGTGAGACAGGATGCTGGAATAGATGGACCACTGGTCTGATCCAGCAGGGCTCTTCTTGTGCTCTTGTGAAGGCCTCGGCCTCTATGCCCTGTTGTAGGCCCTCCAGAGGAACTGGTTGGCCGCTGTGTGAGACAGGATGCTGGAATAGATGGACCACTGGTCTGATCCGGCAGGGCTCTTCTTATGTTCTTATGACTGAGGAGAACCTCCACATTCAAAACTATCAAGCCTCTGAATCCCAAAGGCAGGAGGCAACCTCAGGGGAAGGCCTCAGCCTCTGTGCCCTGTTGTTAGCCATCCAGAGGAACTGGTTGGCCACTGTGTGAGAAAGGATGCTGGACTAGATGGACCACTGGTGTGATCCAACAGGGCTCTTCTTATGCTTTTGTGAAGGCCTCAGCCTCTATGCCTTGTTGTTGGCTGTCCAGAGGAACTGGTGAGCCACTGTATGAGACAGGATGCTGGACCAGATGGACCATTGGCCTGATCCAGCAGGGCTTTTATGCTGTTGTGACAGCAGGGGATGCGGGGCCTGCGGGACAGCAGAGCCTTAGTAATCATTATGAAGACCCTGCGTCTCACCTAGTTTGTTGCTGCGTCCCACTGCTTGACGACCACTCTTACATTTCTCTCTCTTGTTCCCATTCTTCAGGTAGAAGACCCTGCCAGCAGCGATTGACTTCCCATTTGTCTGGAGATTTCCTCTGTACGCTGACTGCAAAGACCCCCCTTTCAACCCTATAAAGCAGCCTCTTCTGCGAACGGAAGCCCAGGCAGCCAGCGGCAGTCCAGGCCCATCCCAAATTCTCTTGTATCTGCAAAGGTAGACCCGGAGGGAAGGCCTGTGGCAAGACTGTCCCCAAAATGACTGCCAAGCGTGGAGCAGCCCAAGGAGCTATCGAGCAGATGGCCCGGCGGGGAATGAAAATGGAGGAGGACGACGATGAGCCTGAAACCCCGGAACCGGAGGAAAGATGGCGGAAGAAGGGGGGAGAGGGCTCTCGCAGTCTCCGAGAAAAAGATGGAGGGTTGCCCAGGGGCAGATCGGGTCACCACAAGGAGCTACTCAGCGCGACTCGTTCCAGCCGTTCCGGATGGAAAAATCCCCACCCTGCAAGGTCCGCTGCATGGCGAAACAAACAAGGGTCCTCGCCCTCCACTGAGGGACCCGCGGTCGCCCACCAGTGGCCAAAGGGTGGACGGGCTGCCCGCCACCCACCCCCAGGCCTCGGGGAAGAAGTGCCCGAGGCCCACAACAGCATGGACTCGGGGGAGATCAGCGAGTCTGGGACAGTGAAAGTGAAGGAGGAAGTCTTGGGGGACGACTCTGCCAGCATGGAAATGAGACGGCAGCGCTTCCGGCAGTTCCGCTACCAGGAGGCTGAGGGCCCCCGCGAGGTGTGCAGCCAGCTGTGGTACCTCTGCCATCGGTGGCTGAAGCCGGAGAGGCACACCAAAGAGCAGATCCTGGAGCTCTTGATCCTGGAGCAGTTCCTGGCCATTTTGCCTCTGGATATCCAGAGCTGGGTGAGGGAACACGAACCAGAGACCTGTTCACAAGCGGCCACCCTGGCTGAGGAGTTTCTGCAGATGCAGCAAGAGGCCGAAAGGAGGGAACAACAGGTGAGAGCGCGTTTCTTCCAGGGAACCTTTGGAGGAATGCCCAGAATATAGGGGATCCGAGCCTTCACAAGATGCAAATCCAGAAGATGTCTTTCAAATAGAGTTGCCCATCCCTAGTTGAGCAACCAAAAAAAGCGGGGGGGAGCCAGTGCAAGAAGCAAAAAAAACACCACTGGCAAAAAATGAACACACAAGCAATTAAGCAAGTATATAATGATCAATTAAGCATAACAGCAAGTATAATATAAATCAAATAAGCATAACAGCAAATATAATATAAATCAATTCGCCAAAGTGCAATAATAAAGCATAATAGACACAGAGTCTACAGTCTTTCCACGCCTCCCTTATTCCTCCCTGACTGACCATTCTGGCTTAGT